CTTCCACCTCCTGCAACCCCCCACTCTCACTACCGCCCTCGCCGCCCACCTTCCCTACCCCCCGGGGGTCACTTCAATCGCCGCAGCCGCCACATGCGGCGCCATGCAATAAAAAACTAAGCGCTACTGGCTGCCTCCTCTGGCCCATAGTTTTTTCGTCTCATGCTGTGCAATTTCAACGTTTAAGGGGGACTCTCCGTAGTTTCATGCTTAGTTTTCCACACTCTCACAAGGAAAGCAATTTCCACATATGGGCAGATTTTTTAAATCTGCTTACAGTTAGTAATTACAAAAATCCTTAAATGTGTAAAATAAATTAAATGATTTTACTTACCTTCTTTAAATTATTTTTTGTTAAGCAAACTAATTAACATATCAAATTAAATTATTTTAATATTTATATTAAGATTAACGTGTATATTTAAAAAACGTTTTACATATTCGCATGACTTCAAGGCAGATGAATTTATGTTTGGCCTAAATAGAGGATCTTTACAATTAGGTATTCGTCTAAAAATTTTTTTTTGGATAAGCAATATCAGCTCTTTAACGACCGTAGTTAGGTTAAATGTATCTTTATCTGCATGTTCTTAATGATAGAAGCGCTTTGATATGTCTTTTAAATAGATGATTTTTCCTCCTTAATTCTTCATAAGTAAATACATAAAACAAGAAAAAAGTTAAAATCGAAAGGGTCAAAGGGTCTTCCTTTCGTATTTTCATTTTTCTAATGAAAATCCTTATTTTTTGACAAACAGCGTTAAATGTATATCATTTATATTGACTTGGATATTGCTAAATCACTAGAATTAATAATACAATTTTTTTTCATTAAACTACGAATAAAATTGTTTTAATTTTGAGCAGTTTTTGTCATCTTATGAGCCTAAGTTCCTGGGGACGCATTGGTTTTTGGGTTTCCTCTGCCTCTGGGCCACGCCCGAGCATTTATTTTATAGTTTGCCTGGCGCCAGACATTCGACTAATGGCCGGTCTAAAGGCCTGTGATCGGAGTCCGGGTGGCCGGAAAATGAAAAGGTCAAATGGTCAGTGAAAACTTGATGATGATTGTGCCTCATTAAAGCAGATGGCCATATTTTTTGGGGTTTAATGATTGCGTGGCGGTTTATAGACCGGAAGAGAATGCAAAGAAATGACCTGGAAAATATTTAACTAGATTTGCTTAGCGGGATACACATTTTTAATTCTTAGCTTTAACTCAGCCGCTCTACAAAATATATTCTATTTTTGTTTTTCTTCAGGGACTACTGTCTCCAGACAGTGATTCTTAGTTTAAACTTTTAATAGGACAAGAGACACAATTTTATCCTTTAGTTCTTTATGTATTCAGCCCATAATAGACACCTGTCCCTCACCCCTTGATTTGCCCTCCGGTATCAATTAGGCGTCGCTGACTGGCGGTCTACCTGTCTGACACTACCCTCTTCAACTCATCAATTAAACCAGACACCTCTAACTTCGTACACTGCTAAAAAGGTAGCAAAACGATTAAATCTATAAAAACACATATTTATTTTCTTGACCATTGTATTATGATAAAATTCATTTTTAAGTTTTACGAAAAGTATAAGCTTAAAGCTATAATAGAAAATAGGCCGGTGGCTAAAATTTAAATTCATAGAAAAATTATAAATTAGTTGTTATGTCTTCAAATTTATACACATAAAAAGAATAAATTTCAACAAAAGATGGTTAAAGTAGTATTCTTTGTTTTAAAAACCATAATAAAGAAGAAAATTATAAGTTCCGAACAAAATGTTTCTTATTCCTGGAAATGCTTGGAAGTATTTTTTCAAGTCTAAAATAAATACAACAACATGAACGCCAAACATCACAAACCCGTAAACAAAAATGAAAACACAAACAAAACACAGTTATCTTTTTCCCTACTCCACCGCTTTTCCGACTTTTCATTTTTCCCCCGCCATTTTTTCGTGTCTCTCATCTTTGTTTTTGTTTCGTTTGCTTTTGTGTTATTTACCCTTTGGCTTTTACCGTTCGTTTTGTCGTTTGCCATGTTTTTCAGCATTTGCCAAATTTTGAAAACAAGAGCAAAGGAAACAAACAAGCGGTGAAAGTTGAAAGGTGGGAAAATGGAGAAAATAAAGAAAGTTGATTGGGAGCAGAGAGCAGGTCGCTGGGGGTTGGCCAAACCTTTTTTCCTCTGCTGTCGCTGTGACCTTTGGCCAACAAAGCTGACCCGAATGGGAGAGGGGGTGGAGGGAGGGGGAGTGTGAGAAGGGGCGGGGATTGTGGGTGGGCGGTGCCTTTCACCTGTGTCCTTGTCATCGTCGTCATCAGCAACGCTCGCCGTTCCCCGTTCCCCGGCACGCTGAAACTTTTGAAATTATAATTTAATTTGAATGTCATTAAAATTTTCGCGCTCTCCGCTGTCTCTTTCTAACGCTCAATTTTCGCGCTCTCCACTGTCTCTTTCCAACGCTCATTTTCGGCTATCGCTGTCCCGCTCGTTGGGTTATCATATCCATGGCAGCATTCGAGGGATTTCCATGGAAAAGGAAAAAAAGTAAAGCGAAAACATAACAAGAAAAACTATGCAAAAACGTAACACAACATGCTGTCGCAATAGAATAGAATGTTGGTAGTAAAAAACGGCAATTAAAATATTTTAGACATGTTTTCCCCGTTTGAAAGAATAACAAATATTTAGAGATAGCATTCAGTCAGGCCTAGTTCAGTTTTCCAACCAGAACCGCTAAATTGCTAAATTTTGTTAAATAATTGTTTTCCATATTTTTAAAGCCTATGTTTGTTTAGCATATTTCTTTAAAATATTAAGGCAATCTCTCTCAATTGTCCTCACTGTTGCCTTTAAAAATGATTAAAGACACTTCTCAGGATTTTAGTGGCTTCTTCAGCCAAGTTTTAAGTTGCAACTTAATGAAAACAGAAAAACTGCTCGTGTCAGCTGAAACTAAGCGCTTAAATTGTGAGCTTTCAGGCACTGCAGACATAAAATAAAATAAGATAAATACAACTTCTGGTCGCTTTTCCCCCGCTCAAACGCGCATGTTTATGGAAAAGTTCTAGTGAAAACTGCGTCAAGAAAAACGGAGGGTAAAACTGCTGCAGCCGCAAGAATAAAGAAAATATTCACTTAGGCCAGGACGTCTTATCTCCCGAGTAACAGGCAGCGACAATGTTGAAACACCCTTGGAAAAGCGCCTGAAAGATTGCGACAGTTGCCGGGGAAACTCGAGGAAAATGCAAAGAACCTGAGAAAAACTGAGCTAATTTAGCTAAAATGTGCACTTAGGGGAGGAAGGTGGAGAACGAATTAAATTGCCAACCTGCAATTCGCATTTCGGTGGCGTCTTAATGCCTTTTTAATTGTGCGGCTAAATAACATTTAAATTACTGCGGCGCCAGCTAAGAAAGCCTCTTGGTCCCAAACCCTTTGTCCTTATGCAGACAAGTTGCCAAGCAAAGGGATCCAGAAGGAGCCCCAAGACTTAAGGCGGTGCAACTGCAGGGGGCGTGGCAGCGGTGTTATTACACGAGCACCATTTAATGGACTGTCAGCATGCAAGGCTCAGTCCGAACACAAGTCAAGTTTCTTGGCTTAATTCGACGCCTGGTGCAGCTTGAAAACGTCAAGGACATGAACTAAAAAAGCAATTTGCCACCGGGAAATGTTTGTTTTCAGAGCCGAACTGCAGCCTCCCAATTTAAATTTTTCGATAAAGCTAGAAAACAGGGAAAACAATTTAGACTCATGAAAGGTTGTCACATTTGCTATTCATTTCAGCATTATTTTTTTAAAGCAATTCATTCAATCATTGTTAGAATTTCATAAATGATATATAGACAATGCTTAGTTAAGGCAACAGAATAACTCACAAAATATTATATCTGATCATGAGATTAGTATCATATAAGTCATAATGTTTTCTATCCAGTATTCTATTAAATTTTCTAACTAAGGTTTTGGTAGATATTTCCAGTCCAGTTTGGTTTGTCTATAAAATCAAAGCAATTACTTTATTTATTTTCGAATGGGTTTTACTTGTCAATGGACCAGTTTTAGAAATTTCAAATTGGCACGAGTCGCCTCGGGGTTCCATTGGCTTACCCAACTGCATCGGTTTGAAAAGATATTTGCTTAAATCGGTCAAGTGACTCTAATGAAAGCATATAAGAAAATATGTTTAACGACGTTGCAGGCAAATCCTCAGAGAGCGATATGCGCCACTCGAGCGAATCCTGTGAGTGGCACGGCTGCAGGTGTGTGGGTTACCCACCGGGGGGTGGTGGGCGGATACAGGTGGCACTCAGAAAGTTTTGAATGCAAACCGAGACCAAGAAAGGAGGCAGCTTTGCATCTCTGCTCAAGTGGAAAACACACACACTAACCCAAAGGCAAACACATAAATATTGCAGCATACAAACGGGGGCAGACGACACAAGCACCCAACAAGTCAACTCGTCCTTGTGTTTGTGTGTGCGGTGACAGAGCACCGAGCAAAACTACTTACATTTTCTTTATATGACTCTATTTCATTATTATTTTTTCAGTTAAATAAAAATACAAGATTTTGTAAAGGAAAAACGTCTATAAAGTTCATTTTACCTACATTTGATCTTCGTTTCAAAGGAAAGCAACAAAGTTTCTAACTTTAATGTTTCCATATCACAATATTTTATTGATTCAATACTTGCGTTTTTATGGTGTATAGTGTTTTATAGAGTTATATTTGCATATTTTGTTTTAAAATATACAACTATTTTTTATAAATCAAGACAATTATTAATGAATTTTAAGCTGGTGACACATTTAAGATCTTTCTAGGGAAATTAGGTAAATTAGATAGTATTTCACCAAAAATATTAAAATATTTTATTATTGGCTTGTTTCATAAAATATTTCCATTTCATTTTTCTCTATGCAACCACAGCCGTATAATACCCTGTCAGGAAGCCCAGACAAATAGTTTAATGCCTGTTCTTTCTGTTTGCAGTTCAAACACAGCCGGAGCCGAAGAACAAAGGCCGAGCAGCCGGAGCGGGCGCTGCAAAAGTGCAACAGCTGCATAGGAAACCGAACTGAAACCCCCGCCCGAGCAGGTCCATAACCAGATCCATATCCACATCAAAGTCCAGGCCCCATTTCCGAGTGCCGAGTTCCCAGATTCCGGACTCCAAAGCTGCTGCGGCGGGAGAATGTGTAGTGCAACACACGGGCGGCAGCTTCAAGTGGCAATTGTGGCAGCAGCAGCGGCGAACTCAACCGGATAATAAGTTGTGGATGCGGCTTGCAGCGCCGGGCAGGCATCCCGAATCCGCCAGCAACACCAGCTCCGAATCGAGTTACCCCGCGTGCAGAAATCGCGAATCGCAATTAGAGACAGTGGTCAGTGCCAGTGACGTCAGGCCAAAGTAGGACACCGCCCATCGCCACCGCCCATCGCCACCGCCATCGCCACCCATCGCTGCCCTGCGCATCCGCGTCATGGCCTCCGTTCGGCAGAGCAGCCTCCTGCCCATGTCCCTGCCCCTGCCCCTCCCCCTGGTGCTGGTGCTATCGCTGCACCTGTCCGGCGTCTGCGGCGTCATGGACCGCCTGGTGGTGCAGACCTCCTCCGGACCCGTCCGCGGCCGCTCGGTGACGGTGCAGGGCAGGGAGGTGCACGTCTACACGGGCATCCCCTACGCCAAGCCGCCCGTCGAGGACCTGCGCTTCCGCAAGCCGGTTCCGGCGGAGCCCTGGCACGGCGTCCTCGATGCCACGCGACTGTCCGCCACCTGCGTCCAAGAGCGGTAAGTCTATCGGGGGCTTAATGGCCTAGTTGGGAGTCTGTGATTTACCAAAAACCTGACTTAGTTGGAAATTTATTGAGGGACTTTAGGTGTAAAGTTATCTTTTCCTGGTGTTCAAGAAATTTACAAGTTAGAATGCAACAAGCCTCGGGCATAAGATTTTACCAGCGATGTTTATTTTTAATTTCTCTTCTCATTACTAGCAGTACTTAAATTTTCCTTCGTAAAAATCTTAACAATTACAAACAGCTAAACATCCGTTACCAATTGATAAATTACAATTCATTTTTTAAAACATCTATAAATATTAGAATATTAGATATTACACTCTTCCTTATTAAAATTACTCTGGATTTTAAAAATATTACTGACATTTAACCTAGTTTTATGGTTTTTGGTAATTTTAAAATTGTTGAAATTGGATTTTTAAAAATTGGCTATGTCGTAAAAAAATATATTTTCTTTTATTTAAAAACCATACATACATACATTTTTGTATGCTGGGGACTTGAAATTTTGGCAAAGACAAATAAAAGGAGGTCATATCATTCCGGAAATAAAAACAATTTGTCATCACTGGCTTAGGGGGATTTTAGGGGTTCAAAAGGGGGTTGGCTGGTACGCTCCACTTCTGCATTTGACCTAGAAATGAAAAATCGCAGCCCGGCTGCAGCGGCAGCTTGCTGTTGACCTAACTGTTGCCAATGACGTCATGCCGCATGCAAAAAGCCGGTCAAAACGGAAAAAGCCAATTCGAAACTTTACTCAGTATGTGGGCTTTGCCAATTGCAATCGCACTCTGTTTGCCTTCCAATGTTTGTGGTACGGGGAAACATATTGTTCGCAAACATACGACTAGTGTAGATAACATATTAATTTAATTTATTTTAAGGATCAGAATCAGTTTTCAAGCCTAGTCATTTTTGAATACTAACGTTATTGTTTGCCTAAAATCGAATTTATTGACCTAAAAAAATGTTTGTTGTTCGCGCAAATTTGAATTTAATGAAATTGTTAAAAAACTTGAAGTTTAGTGTAAGTTAGTTTAGGGCGAAGGCGGGAGCATAATAAAGTTTTCTCTCGCTCTCGGCGAATCGCCCCGTCTTCGCCAACCTTCGTTAAGCTAGGCTCTAAGTACTTTGTCGAAAAATATAGAAGTATTCGTTGAAATTGATTTGAGCCGTCGACACCTTTTCTTTTCGTTTTCGTTTATCGCAATTAATAATTTTAGCCACCGCCAAGTTTTTTCGGAACTTAATAATTAGAAAACTCTCTAATTTTTCATGGCGCCCCCGGGTGGACGTTAAAGTTATTAATATTTGGAAACTAGTGACAGTGACACATAAACCAAAAATATAAAGTGCTAGTGCAAGTGGAGTTCAAAGCACTCAATTACATACCTACATAGTGTTTTTTTTTGTTGCCCGCGGCGTGTCGGTGTGGACAGAAAATACACAGCAGCTCCTGCTTAAAATATCGTGCCGGTCGCGAAATACCCTGTTCGCCAAAAAGAACTGCTGCCAGAGGGATGCCCTGCGACTGCTCAATGTGCAAAAGGAAAGTGGCAGCTGGATTGAAAGACCCTAAAGCAGAACCTGAGGTATTTGTGCAAAAAATTGAAAGCTTGAGTTTATAAGAAAAACAATTTAATTGTTTATTGTCTTGTGCTGAAAAATTGCACCTCGCTTTCAATTCTTGGCACAGACGTATCGATATAGTAGAGCTAGTTGTGCATGCATTTATTTATAATAAATAAAAATAAAAAATTATATTAAAATTTATTATATACACATACATATACACATACACATTATAACCTATTTGAACCTCCGTTGGACGCAACATTTACATAATTGTGTTATATTATTGCAATCACTGTCGCCCCCAATTTATTTATTGAAACTCGAAAATTAATAGTTGGTAAAATTATCCCAGCCGCTATATATAACCAATACATAAGTCCTCATATACAAGCAGCTGCAGCGGTTAACTTTTTCGTTTTCCTTTTTCGCTTCGCTTGTCTGCCGTTAGCATCGTTGTAATTGTTGTTGGACTTTTGGTTTGGCGCGCTGAAGATCAAAGTGACGCGCTACCCTGCATTCGGACGGGTATACTGATTTTTGCCGTCATTTGCAACCACTGTTAATTTTGATACCTCGTGGCTCGATATTCAATTTAATATTTTTTTTCGTCGTTTTCGTTGTGGATAATTATTAAAATAATTTTTTCGAACAAATTTAATAATTAAATTAAATTGTTATTTACTCTTAGTATTTTGTTTCGAAAATTTATTTAACATTTTGTCGTCGTTCTAATTGAACAATTATCCTCTTTTAAAACTTATTTATTTTATTAATTATTATTCTTGGATAAATAATTTATTTATATATATATATTTATTTATTTTCGTGGTTTATATATAAAAAAAAAAAAATAAATTAAAATGAGTCCAGATAAGCCAAAATCTCTTGAACTTCTTGCGGATCTTAAAAATAAGCTCAAAAAACCAGTGATGAGCATCCGCCGATTAAATGATCGAATAGAAGCCGGCCAGATTCCGATCCAAGAAGTAGAACTAACTTGTCGGCTAGAGATTTTAAATGCTTCTATTATTAAGGCAACTCAAATACAAGAACAGATCGAAGATTTAGATGATGGCGATGAGTTCGGAGAAGAGTTGGAAGAGCTTTCAATAATTACCAAGGCAAAAATAATGTCGCTTATCTCAGCCTTGAAGACGGCAAGCGAAACCAAAATAATTGGATCAGCTTCTGTAGCCCCAACTCGAGCTCGACTTCCGAATTTGGCATTGCCGAAATTCAGCGGCAAATATTCGGAGTTTAAGAATTTCATTAGCCTTTTCGAAACTCTTGTTCATCAAGACGACAGCATTCCCGTCATAGAAAAATTCAATCACTTAATTTCTTGTCTTTCTGGTGAAGCTTTGGGAACTATTAAGGCCTACCAAGTCACCGAGAGCAATTATGAAAAGGCTATGATCAGCCTGAAAAAAGTGTATGATAACGAATGTTTAATTTTTATGAATAATATTTCAACATTGTTTAGTCTTCCGAAAATAACGCAACAGTCAGCTTCGTCTTTAAGAAATATTATCGACACCGTATCATCTATATACGGTTCTTTGTTATCGATAGGAGACGACACCAAGATTTCAAATGCAATGTTGATCTATCTTGTTTTGAACAGAGTAGACCCAGTGACCAAACAAAAATGGGAAGAACAATTAGATTATGAAAGGTTACCGCTTTGGTCCGATTTTGAAAAAATGTTAAACCGCCGATACCAGCATTTATCCGCTGAAGAATCGACGAAACCAAAGCAAGATAAAGTTATGTCGAGCAAGCCACATAATCGCAGCTCATTTTCTTGTTCTTCGTCCAACAGTAAATCCCAGCAAAGTTGTAGCTATTGCAATGCAGGAGACCATATCCTAGCGAACTGTGGTCCGTTTGGTCGCCTTTCGGTAATGCAAAGGTTTGACTTTGTAAAATCTGCTTCCTTATGCATCAATTGTATGCGAAAGGGTCACACTGTTTCAAAATGCAAATTTAATAAATGTCGAGTTTGTGGCCGCTCGCATCACGTTTTACTGCATAGATATACAGTGTCCGAAAATAGTTTAGCGTTGCCACCACCCCAAGAGATTCTTTCTCCCTCTTTAAATCAAGATCAGCCTTCCACGTCACATGTTATGCATGCGACATCATTGGACAGAGTGATTTTAGCCACGTCGATCGTAAGTGTAAGAACTAAAAACGGTGAATATATTTGGGCCCGAGCACTTCTTGACTCTGGGTCCCAAACGAATTTTATAACAGAGGACCTTGCTCACCGCTTACAGATCCGTAAAGAGGAGTCGTGTATAAACTTACTTGGTATTGGCGAGTCCAATTCTCAAGTTAAGAAAAAGGTACACACAATGGTGAAGTCGCGTATAAATGGTAGTGAGTTCTCCTTCGATTTTTGGATTTTGAAATCAATATCAGGATATCATCCTGACCAGTCGGTCAATATCAATGACTGGAAAATTCCAAAGAACCTACCACTAGCAGACCCCTATTTCTACAAGCCACAAAGAATAGATATGTTAATAGGAGCAGAATCATTTTTCGAATTATTAGCTGTTGGACAAATTAGACAAGGTCCTGACTTTCCAACTCTGCAGAAAACCCTCTTCGGCTGGGTTGTATCGGGTAGATATAAGGCATCTTCCCCTACAGAAGTTGTGAAAAGTTTCAGTTGTAGTGAAGAGATTTTAGTGTCTATTGACAGCACACTACAGAAGTTTTGGTCACTGGAAGAAATGCCATCTCTAAAGAAAATTCTGTCACCTGAGCAAAAGTTATGTGAAGAACACTACCGGAAGACTACTCAGGTTTTGCCATCAGGTCGGTTTGAAGTAAGACTGCCGTTTAAATCGGATCCAAATGAGTTAGGCAACTCTTTTGAAGTTGCAAAACGGCGGTTTTTGTCGCTTGAAAGAAGGCTGTCTCGAGACCCTGAGATGAAGGAAATGTACCTAGAATTTATGGAGGAGTACCTTTCCTTAGGTCATATGTCTCTTACAGATAAACTTCCTTCTGCTCCACATTATGTTATCCCACATCAATGTGTTCTGAGACCCCAAAGTACGTCAACCAAGTTACGTGTCGTTTTCGATGCGTCTTGTAAATCGTCAACTCAGAAGTCTCTAAATGACATTTTGATGGTTGGGCCGACAATCCAAGATGAGTTGTACTCAACGTTACTGCGCTTCCGGCTGCATAGGTTTGCCCTGACCGCCGATGTAAAGAAAATGTATCGCCAAGTGATGGTGAATGAAGCAGATAGGCAGTTTCAACTTATAGTGTGGAGAAGAGACCCTCTGAGTCCTTGAGATTATACAAGCTCAACACCGTAACATATGGTACTGGACCAGCCCCGTTTTTGGCTATTCGGTGTTTAAAAAGGTTAAGTGAGTCTGCCAAAGTTTCTTTTCCTAGA